CATTGGAGGAAGTTGAGCATTGATGCCCACTGTCCTCCAAGTGTGTGGGTAGAGATGATTCAAGCCAACTGTTCCAGAGGGTTAGCCACTCAGAGTCCAGTGGTTCCTCAGAAATTCAGGATCCATATCTAGGAATGTTCCTACATGTGCATAAGACAACCTTTTGTCTCAAAATGTTAAGAGTTTGAAGACATTTGAGACATGGTTTATTTCCTTCAACCTCATTGCTTTTTGTGGTAACTGAGATCAGTTAAAATACACATAGTAGGAAGAAGCAGCTCTGGGGTGTAGGTCCTGACTCAGTGATGATCTGTATTTTAGGTCACTTTCTGTAGTGACCATATATTTTGAAACTAAATGTCTGGGCACAATAGATTAAGTAGACTGAGTCTTGTAAGTCAGCATCATCCTGAGAAATTTGAAGCATATTTAACCATAAATCAACCTCTTCTACTGAGGCAAAAGGAGTTTGGTAGAAAATGAGAGAGAATAATTCCATTCAAGGTGGTGTTCCCAGAGTGTTCCTTGGAAAGGATGCCTGCCCAGGCCCCCACATGGGTACATCAGAGTCTCCCAGGCCCCCATGGTATCAAGAGTCTTGAATGTGCTTAGAATATGAGGAGGATTTCTCTTGTGGCTAACAGTGGCCTGTGGCTGTCCCAGTGCAATTGACTGTCCTTTTGCAAAAATATAATAATGATATCAAAATACAGAGCAGTTAATCTGAAAGGATGAGTTCCCTTAGATGTACCTGTTTATAGGCAAGACTACTTTTTTGTTTTCTTTTGGATACTCACAGACTTCTGGATTTAAGATTATTTTTGGGTGGGGCCAATTATTACACTAACCATTTATCCCACAGAGAATTCCTTCCATGGCATCCCTGAATGTGGCCATCTAGTTTATTCTTAAGTGCTTTTTGTAAAGGTAGTCAACACATTCCAGAGCAGCTGTTTCACTGACATGAAAACATTTCTTACTAGAAAAATTTTTCTCTAAGAATGCCTATAAAATTACCTTGAAATTTTAGAATATGAGGAGGATAACATAAAATAAAGTGCATTTTTCTGGATGAAAAAAAGCTTTTTGAGTAGCTAAAGGTGCTTCTTAATCCTAGCAGCATTAGCAAAGAACTACAGGTTTTTGCACATGATTTTCTGTTCCTTTCTTTTTGAACCTCTATCTTTCTCCAAACACATTCCTCAAAATTCAATTTTTGTCACCTCCCTTGAGAATCCTACATGACTTCCCAGAGACAATCCATCTCACCATTTCAGCCTTAATTCTAGTGGTCACTCATATTGCTAAAGGAATGCTTATGTTGAGTATTTCTTTAAATTCTATTTTGTTTCCAAAACCACCTCTGTTTCCTTAGGATAGCCTTTCTCTTTGCATGTGTGTTTTAATCTTGTGTGTGCTATTTTGCAGGTTTTGTTGAAATGTTTGGTAACTTGCAGCTGTCTATTCACATTTGAGAATTAAGTAGTAGAACAGCTGACAGGGGATGTGGATAAAGTCCAAGGCTTTTAAAATGAAAAGCTTCAGGTTAGAGGAGCAAATCTGAAGCTGCCAGCTAACTGGTATACCCTAATGGGCTCTGTTGTGGGGGCTGACACTCAAAGTAGCTCATTTAGGTTTGCCAGGAGAGTGATCCTATTTCTTCAGACAAGAATCTTGCCTGGAAGCTCTTTTGCACTCTAGGCTGTGTTCTGAGTGGGGGCATCTTTGTTCCTATTCTCAGAGTTTGCCTTCCATCCTATTTCTGTCACTGCCCTGAAGTCTCTGAGTTTCCTGGGTTCTACTAGGCAGATCTTCTCTCTCCTAAGCTGCAGGACCCTTCACACAGTGCTAGTACCTTGTGGTGGAGTGTTTTGTGGGTGACATTCCAGAAAAACAACTCTAGGAGAAGCCATTCACATGGAATGCAGTAGCTTCCCCTTATCCACGTTTTGCTTTCTTCAGCTCTAGTTATCCACAGTCAACCATGGTCTGAAAATATTCAATGGAAAACTCCAGAAATAAGCAATTCATATTTTACATTATGCTCCATTCTGAGTAACATGATGAAATCTTTGCTCTCTTTGCCCAGGACATGAATCATCACTTCCTGCAGTGTAACCACACTATACATGCGAACCGCGTGGCTTGTAGACAGCTCACTTGGTAGCTGTCTCAGTTACCAGATGGTTTGACTGGTACCACAGTGCTTGTGTTCAAGTAGCCCTTGTTTTACTTAATAATGACTACAAAGCACAAGAGTGATTCTACCGGCAATTCAGATATGCCAAAGAGTTAAGCCCCAATGTGTTTCTTTTAATTGAAAAGGTGGAAGTTCTTGACTTAATAAAGAAAAGAAATTGTATATTGAGGTTACTAAGATCTAAGTAAAAATGAATTTTCTGTCTATGAAGGAAAAAGAAATTCATGCTTATTTTGCTGTTGCATCTCAAAATTATGGCCACAGTGATAACTGCTTAGCTAAGATAGATAAATCAATAATTACAGCATTTGGTACTATTTGCAGTTTCACATGTATCCTGGGGGTCTTGAGATGTATCCCTAGTAGGTAAGAGGAGATTACTGTCCAACATGTAGATGGTGGCCCCTGCTTCCAAGGGTAATCTAAAATCAGGACTACTTTGATCTGCTTCATCCACCAGTACATATCATTGGCTTTCTCTTGTCCAGAAATGTGACTTTTGGCCTTTGATACAGACTTTCATTCCCTTTACCACTATGGGATTCTCTCTTTTAAAATTCCATTAGCTGCCTTTTAATAGTGTCTCAGGAGGAAAAGGAGATTAAAGTGTGGGCTGTGTCTGTCAAGTTGAACCCAGAGCACAGAGCTCACACTATCATTGGGGATATTATTCTGCCTTGTTTTGTCTGGCATAGGTACAGATGATTCAGATATCAATTTAAAAACAGTGGTGATAGAGGGCTCAGTTAAGACAGTTTTGTTATCTCCAGAGATCAGCTTAACTGGAAATCAGAAATATTCCCACTTATTTTATATTAAGTAAACAGAAACTTGGGTGCAAGTTATATAAAGGTATGAGATTTTAAACTATATTTATTTTTAAATATCCTACGTAGTTGCTGTCATGAAAACATTAGGAAGAAGAGTTTTGAAATAACAGATTTCCATTAAGCAATTTAACAACTTAATGGGAAATCTGCTAAAGACTCATTAGTCTATGTAAAATGAAAAATAACTTTCCCTCTGTGTTCAGTAACAATAATTATATGCCCCATTAGCTCTTGATCTGATAGCCAGTTGGGCACATGCAGCATGAACTTTAGTGTTCTGTGTTTTATTGAGGATCACTGAGATTTTTTTTCTTCTAAATATTCCAGCAATGGGAAATTATTTAAAACCCAAATGTTTTATTTTATATTCAGAAATGCTTTACATAACTAAATGCATACATAAGCGTTTTAGAACAAGTGTTAAAACTGAGTCTTCAAACTAATTTAAGTGCTAAATATTTTTGCTTGTTTTTTCAGAACTCTTAACTAAGTATGTATTCAACTAGTACTTATTGAGATTCTAATATGTACCTGCTACTTTTATAAAAAGTTGGTAAGTTCTGTACTATTCTCTCCTTTGGCTGGTTCATCTTATGAAGAGTTAAAATTAGTAATTATGTCTGTAGCAGAGTTCATTTAACTCAAGAGAAAAAGAGTGGAAAATGAAAAAAATGCTCATTAACAAACTCTTAATAAACTTTTATTAATAAGAAAAAAGAAAGAAAAGATTTGAAAATGGCTTTAGAAGGAAATGTCATTTCTAGAGGAAGTCGTTGAGTTAATGATCAAAATGTGGAATGGTAGCCACCCTAAGCCTGGCCGAGAAGGCTGTTCATAAGGAATAAGACAGGTAAAGAAGAGATAACTGGTGAGATTTGTCTCTACACCTTCCCCTCTATTACAAGGAACATTCCAACAACAAAGAATACATGTAAATCTCCAAAACAATAGCATATTGATTCTATGTAATGATTTATTATAAGAGTAAATTATAGCTCTTCATCATTTTTTATGCTAGGAAATTCTTTACTATTTGTAACTTTGTCTGATTAGGGTTTAAGAAGACTTTTCATGAGCTGGGGATGTGGCTCAATGGTATCAGTGGTAGAGTGCTTGCCTAGAGTGTACAAGACCCAGCACTGCCAAAAAAAAAAAAAAAAAAAAGGTCTTCATATAATTACAGAGGACAGAACCATATAGTAGAATCAGACTTGACTTTGTACTATTTTTTATGTAAGTAGTCTAAGTAATATAAAAAATTATTTAATCTCTTTGAGAATCATGGTTTAAGAAATAAAAAAGATATATATATGTCAGAGAATTTAAGAGAATGATTTTGGAATGAAACCAGATAAGACGTATTGATAGAGAGACAGAAGATGGATGGATCGATTGATAGAAAGATTATATATATATATATATATATAGATAGATAGAGAAACCTGGCACGTAATAAGCACTCAATAAATTCGACTTTCTTTTCTCTTCCCTTGCAGAAATGTCCACAAACTTGAGTTGTTGGGCAAATATCCATGAATGCATCAGTTCTCAGCTCAAGAGTTACATATAGGGCTGGTGTGTAGCTCAAAAAAAAAACGTTAGAAGTTATATTTTCTCTGAAACCACACTGACTTGCTCTCCTAGCCGCTTTTGATGTCTCTTCTCTGTCAGGTACCCCTCCGGGATCCTTCATTAATCTCTTATACATATCTCCTGTACTATGTAATGCTTATACTGTATTGAAAGTATGAGAGTGTATTCTATTATTCACACTAGACAATGAGCCCCTTGAAGGCTAAGATTTTATTTAATTTGTTAAATCTAGTACCTAACAGTTCTTGGCACATAACATGAGCTACATAAATGCTTATCACATGGGAGAGGAGAGAGATGAGAGAAAGAGGAAGGGACACTTTCTTTAGGTTCAAAGGCTGCACATTTTAAGAGGATACTCTGAATTATTATCTTACCCTTCTAGGGAGATGGCCCGTTGGAGAGTCACTGAAGGCTGACGGGTCGCAGTGCTGTGTTGGGAATGACTGCAAGAAAAGAGAAAAAACAGAACATGGCTCATTCATTTAAAATGTCTGAAAATTTTAACAGTCTTATTGTCAAGAAAAGAGCCAATATTTAAATATAGAGAGTAAAGATGAAATCTTTGGTGATAAGTAGAATAACTCACAAAAATATAGCAGTTTATCAGATAAAGGGGTCAATATATCCTCATAATTTGAGTTCAACATGCATTATTCTAAAGTAACCTTTAAATGATAAGTAGACATAAAAAGAAACAAACATACTTAGAAAAGGTAATTTTTCCCCTTGGAATAAAACAGAGCACAAAACATAAATTTAATTATGATTCAACATATTTTTTGAGCTAATGAATATTTTCACTAATAAAATTTTATTCAAAGCCCAATCTATAAAACACGAGTAGTATTTCATTGGTATATATTTATTTATTTATTAGCTGTTTTTGTAACATTTGTAAAATTAATTAATAACAAACTGATGAATTTAATAAGCTTGAAAAATAAGAATTTCAGTTGCATATTAATCTTAAAGTTTAATGTAATTCTTAATTTTTTTTGGTTTCATGTAACTAGAGAAAAAAGGTTTTGTAGATAAGCAGTTGAAATAAAAATAGTAATATCTAATATTTACTGAGCAATTATTTTCACTTTGTCACTTCCTAAAGTGCATAATATGTTTACACCTTTTAGTTCTAATATCTCCACAAGGTAGTTTCAATTTAATTAATGAGGAAATTAAACTATAAAGAGGTTTAGAAGGTAAGTCAAAGTCACATGGTAAATCAATGTGCTTGAAATGCCATCTCATTTTCTGATTGTGGAGTCATTATTCTTAACCATCATGCTATCATAATTTTTCATATTTGTAAGAATTTTCCTTGCAATCTCAGAATATTCTTCAATTAGAATGAGATGGAGATGAATCTTTCATCTAAAAAAGGCACACTAATAATCTAATAGCAAAACAATTTGAATGAATTTTTAATTTTAATTTGTAGTTTGTTAGTTTATTATTTTAGTTGAAATATTAGCTGCCATTATATGTGGGATATGAATGTGTGTATATGTACACATATGTATAAAGAAAAATCTGAGTCAAATATTTGTAGAGCATTAGACAATTTTGCAAAGCTCTAGGATTTCTCAGCACACACCTTGAAAACACTAACATTGCCACACAGAGCCAAGTTAAAGGCTGCAGAGATTTTCATTCAGAATGTTGGTTATTTTGGGTGAGAAGGGATATCTCTCTCTGAGTAGCATTTTGTCATGACATGGAGGACATTTATCTAAGGCTAGGGGAGAAGAATTTTCGTACCAGAGCTAAATCCTAAAGAATGACTTCAAATCAAGGATTACCTTTTGTGTTCCTCACAGAGCCAAGCACCACAGATACTCAATGAATGTGCTTTGAATAGCCAGTGAAAAAGCAGGATTGCATTCAGGACTCACATCATGGGCCCAGAACGGCAGAGTTCAGAGTCTGACTCATCCACATCTCCCAATGTGACCTGCTTAATCTTAAACCTCTCTGTGTGTCAGTTCCTCATTTTTACAACCTATAAAAATAGTAATAGTGCTTTCCTGGTTGGGGTGCTATAAGGATTCAGAATACAGTGTTCACAACAATGTCTATCGCACACTAAGAGCTATATTTTACATAGATAAACTAATGTAATTTGGGAGAAGGTGTACTTTGAAATATTTAGTAATAAAAAAGAGTATCTATTTAGATTCCTTTTGTTAGACATATAGTCAATACACAAGCTGTATATTTCTGCACAGAATACAACTTTGGTGATAAATATGAAATTAAATGCATTTTCTATTATGAAATATTATAAAATCAATGAGAATCAAAGTAGAAGATATATAGAATGATTAAGTTTTGCTTAATGTACAGTATGAGGACTATAGTTAATAAAATTATATTGTATTTGGGATTTATGCTAAATAAGTAGATTTTAGCTGATTTTGCCTCAAAAACAAAACAACTAAAAAGGGTAACTGTGTGTGATGATTCATGTTTTAATTTGCCTCTGGATAGTAATCCTTATACTGTTATGTGCTTATCATATGATTTTGCATATCTTAAATGTACACAATAAGTTTACTTAAAAATTAATGGCAAGAAAAGTAGGAGAAAGTAAAAATATTCATCCATCCATTCTTCCATTACTGTCTCTCAAACTTTAAGGAGTTATCTAATTTAATTCTCATGGTCGTTCTATAAGGTAGATATGAGTATGTCTGTCTTATATTTAAAAAACCAAAACACTTTGAACTTACACAGCTTGTCAGAAATGAACAGCTTATAAATGTGGAACAAAATCAAAAGTAGAGCCTATCTTTTGCCAAGTGTACGTCCTTTCTACATATCTTCCTGACTCTATATGTCTACATGTATTTCACATAGTTCAATATATATATGAATATATGTAACTTCATGTCCTATGCTTTTCCTAACATTATAATTTAAGCATTTCTGATAAGAGCTCTATAATTATTATTTTGGTATTATATAGTATTACTTCCTATGAAGATATAATTTTTTACTTATCCTTTATAACTGAATATTTAAGTTACTTTTATTATTTTAATAATATAAATAGTATTATAATTATCATGTTGTTATCAATTACTTTTTTCATGTTCTACAACTTCTTTTTGAGGTATTTCCTCAAATGCATCAAACATTATACTCTTGATTTATGTCATTATTTTTAAAAGCTTTGTATAATGTTATTGTCCCTAAAAGGTACATATATATCATTACCAGTTTTACCTAGTTTTACAAATATTGGCATCATATGTTTTTAATTCCCTGAAAATTTAATAGGTACAAAATGACATCCAGATTTGCAACGAACATTTCTTATTTAGTGAGAACATTTTTTCCCTATGTGCTTATTTGCTAATTGTATTTCTTTTGTACAGTGAGTCTAGTCCTTTCCTCTACCATTTATCTTCCACTAGTTTGTTCAGAAAGTAATGATAGTTCTTGGGTAAAGACTGATGATTCTTACTAACGGAGATTCATGAGCAACTGGAATCCCTGATAATGTTCTCGGTATTAGCCCAGCCCACATAATTAAAGCAAAGATATATTCAGTATTCTCTATTGACTTATAACCACCTTATGACTAATTATTAGTCTATCCTAAATTATGCCAATTAATGTCCCTTTTAAAGTTTTAGTGACACTTAAATGCAAATAATACCATGAAGTGCTCAGAGAATTTGACTCCTTTTATGTTACACAGGAAAAGTCATCCAGTTTCTCTTAAATTTGAAGCAGATTCTTTCACAACATATAATTACCCTTTTATTCTATGAAAACAAATACAGTGGATTATTTGATAGTCAAGACCTAGAGACAGAAGTGAATTTCTATAACTTCCAGATAGCAATGCCTAAACCACACCTGCAGGGGACATACTTAAAATAGTATGGGAGCTGCCAGACAGTGGCAGTAAGTGGTATTTTAAGAAACACTAAGCATCTCTTCTTGGGATGAAGCAGATTCCATTCTTTCCATATTACTGTTTACATGGACAGTGTGTTATAGAGCTACTATGATTAAAGAATGATAGGCAGCCCGTGCCTGTCTCCTCCACCGCCTCAGGCAGAGCCCAGCCACATGAATTCTGAGAACTGCAAGAGAAAAAGCCAATGCAAGAAAAAGCACAGCCAATACTTACAACTTTCAACACTGGAGTGCTAAGGGCTTAGAATGTTCTTCATCTTAAAAATCCTTACTCTCAGTCTACCCTCCTCTTCTGAGTTACCATGTTCCTAGAGACCATCCAGCATTTCTTCTGTGAAGTAGCTGTGACAGTTTCCTGCCTTCCAGCTGACCCAGTGTCCATGCTGCCACCCCATCAGTTCCACACATCCACAGCAGCACCAGGACTGAGACCACCACAACTTATTCATGTGCCTGTTTTTCCTACTAAATTAAATATACCTTGTGAGCAAAGTTTTGGACTTATCTGTACAGTCTCAATCAAGGCTTGACACAGAAGATACTCTTTCACATTTTTTTTTTTTTTTTTTGTACTGGAGATTGAACTCAGGTGCACATTTTTGTTAGGAAATACTGAACTCTAAGTTACACTGAAAGGTTTTTTTTGGGGGTGGTGGGAGTACTAGTTCAGAAAGTTCAGAAAGGTGGAATTCAGGGGCACTTGACCACTGAATCACATCCCCAGCCCTATTTTGTATTTAGAGACAGTGTCTCACTGAGTTGCTTAGCACCTCGCTTTTGCTGAGGCTGGCTTTGAACACAGGATCCTCCTGCCTCAGTCCCCCCACCCCACCCCAGCTGCTGGGATTATCGGCATGTGCCTCTATGCCCAGCTATGTCGGTGGCTTTTGAAGAACATCATCACTTAAGAACAATTTCTCTGTCCTATATACACTAGCTCAAGCATAAGTCTTAGACATTTAGGAAAGATGAGTGAATAGGATGAGCAGGACAAAGGCCCAGCACCATGTCATAGCACTGATTTCTGGGGAAGTCTCTGTCACCTGATAGAAAATCAGTGGCACCAACTCCATATTTAGGTTCCTCGGTTGATGTGCTAAATCAGCTGACTGGGAAGTAAATCCTACCAAGACTTTTAAATTAAACCCCTATCTCTCACCATGCACAAAACTTAACTCAAAATGGAATTAGGAATTAATCTAGAGACTCTGTGTCTAATAGAAGAAATCTTCTATTAGATTTCATCATGTGGGATTAGGCCCCAATTTCCTTAATAAGACTCCTATGGCACAAGAATTAAAACCAAGAATCAATAAATGGGATGGAATCAAACTAAAAAGTTTTTTTCTCAGCAAAAGAAACAATCTGTGAGGTGAACAGAGAGCCTACATCCTGGGAGCAAATCTTTATCCCTCACACATCAGACAGAGCACTAATCTCTAGGGTATAAAGAACTCAAAAAGCTAAGCACTGAGAAAACAAATAACCCAATCAACAAATGGGCCAAGGACCTGAA